GGCCTGGATTAAAGACTATAGGGGCTCTGTGCACTGTGGAATTTGAGAGTCCCCCCACCTTCCATAAACTAGACAGCAAAAGGCCCCCACCCCACACAGACCCCCGGATGTCCCTCCCATCCCACCCAACACATGTCCCTCCCCTCAGACATACCCCCAAATTCCCCTCCTTCCCCATACATATCCCAGCAGCCCTGACATACACCCGGCTCGCCGCAGCCCCCCACACCTCAGTCCCCCTGGGTACAGTCTGCAAAATGCCAACCCCCAACCCCTTCTCCCCAACACCCCCATTCTCCCCAACTCATCCCAACTCCCAGCATTCCCGTCACCCACAGACCTGCCCCCTGGCCAGTGATCTAGGGCAGGGGGGTGTGAGGCATTGGACTAGCTGGCCAGTGATCTAGGGCAGGGAGACATGAGACAACTGGACTCGCTCGCCAGTGATCTGTCTGGCATAGGCAGAGGGCAGGACACTGGCCCCGAGGGGCTATTTCTCTGATCTCAATCAAGCCTCTCTCCTTTCTGTCCCCGCCCTTAGCTGGTGAGCCTGGACTCTCTGCTGTGTCACCTCCATCAGTTCCGTGGCAGCTCCGTGCAGAGAGACCCAGCCCCTGCCTGAAGCAGACGAAGGTCTGGGAGCTGCCTGGTGCCGACCGCCCCTGAGGAGCTAGGGCCCAGGGGCTGTTGCCCCAGGGCACCTCATTAGGCATCGGGGTGCAGCGCAACGGGCATTGTTAGCACGTCGGCTCCCACTCGCAGCTGATGCGTCGAGAGGGGACTCTGGGTCTCATTAAAGACACTTGCTGTTTGTGGCACAATGACGCTGACAAGCCCATGGAGGGGCCAGGCAGGTCATTAACATATTTTTCTGTGCCAGGTTGAGAAGTCAATCAAAGGGCGTCAAGAGAGACCCAACCTCAGGGTGCGTTCCACATGCTGGGGAGGAGCGCAGAACAAAGACATCTAACAGGAACGTACCAGTCCCCAGGCTGGATCCCACCCGGGTCCTTCCATCCCCCCTCCAATGGTGGCCCAGCTTCAGGGGACGTGTCAACACACGCCACATGGACAGCTGAGAAATGTCTTACTAACCCCTGTCAGTCCGTGATTCACTTACACCTTAGGAAATGACACCTCTACAGAAACACGGTCACGCTGTTCTGTGCCAGTAAACTTTTCCTCCCTCACCTCTAGTGTCAATCAGGGATAAAACCATCAGGGAATGGTGCTGAATCTCCTCATGCCCAGACGTTTTCAAAACCATGAACTCAGCGATGATCTAGGGATGGGATATGGGGCCTTTTTTCCCCTGGGGGCTCCAGACCAGCCCCAAGTCGAGGGGACTGGCTGAGACATGTGTCTATATTTAGTGATTTAAGTTGGGAATTGGTCCTGCTTTGAGCAGGGGGTTGGACTAGATGACCTCCTGAGGTCCCTTCCAACCCTGATATTCTATGATTCTATGATTCTATATCAGGGGTTCTCAAACTTTTTTTGCTGGGCCCCCCTTTGAAAATATTTCAGGCTGTGATGACACCCCCCCCCCACCCTCCCGCCACTCTTGGTACTAGACATCGCTTTCCCAACATCAGTGCAGAGCCCTATAGAGCTAACTAACCGTACACCACTCTTACTTCTGCGCTGCTGCTGATGGTGGTGCTGCCTTCAGAGCTGGGCAGCCGGCCAGAGCTGCCTCTCTCCAGCTGCCCGCGTCTTAAGGCAAGGAAAAAGGGGATCTCATGATCCCCCTACAATACCCTTGTGACCCCCTTTTGCGTCCGGACCCCCAGTTTGAAAAATGCTGGTCTATAGCTTAGCCTTCTGTTCCATGTAGGTGTCTGTGCTGGGCAGATAACTGGGAACTTTCCAGACTTAAAAATAAACTAGGTCACCACCTATCTGTCTAAATCCTAATGCTATCTATCTATCTATCTATCTATCTATCTATCTATCTATCTATCTATCTATCTATCTATCGCAGGTTTGTTGTAGCCATATTGAGTGCAGGATATTAGAGAGACAAGGTGGCTGAGGTAATATCTTTTATTGGATCAACTTCTTCATGTAGTCAGGGCCGGCTCCAGCGTTTTTGCCGCCCCAAGCTGCACAAAAAAAAAAGAAAGAAAAGCCACGATCGGCAGCACTTCGGCGGCAGCTCTACCGAGGGACTCGCACCGAGTTGCCGCCGAAGACCCGGACATGCCGCCCCTTTCCGTTGGCCGTCCAAAGCGCCTGCTTGCTGCGCTGGTGCCTGGAGCTGGCCCTGCTTGTAGTTCGGCACCTTGTCTTTCACCAACAGAAGTTGGTCCAATAAAAGATATTGCCTCAACGACCTCATCTCTCTAACCTCTATTCGTGTATCTAGACCAGGGGTGGGCAAACTTTTTGGCCCAAGGGCCACATTGGCGTGGCGAAACCGTATGGTGGTCTGAGTAGGGAAGGCTGTGCCTCCCCAAACAGCCTGGCCCCCGCCTACTTCCTGCCTCCTGACTGTCCCCGTCAGAACCTCCGACCCATCCAGCCCCCCCTTCTCCTTGTCCCCTGATCGCCCCCTCCCGGGACCCACCGCCCCTAACCGCCCCCCCGAGACCCAACCCCTTATACAAACCCCCGCTCCCTGTCCCCTGACTGCCCCCCGGAACCCCCTGCCCCTTATCCAAACCCCCCTGCTCCCTGCCCCTTTACCATGCTGCTCAAAGCAGCAGGAGCTCGCAGCCACACCGGAGCCAGCCACGATGCCCGGCAGGAGCAGAGGGCCAGAGCGGTGGCGGCGCAGCACGCTGAGGCTGCGGGGGAGCGGGACAGCGGGGGAGGGGCTGGAGGCTAGCCTCCCTGGCCGGGAGCTCGAGGGCCGGGCAGCACAACCCCCCGGGCCGGATGTGGCCCGTGGGCCGTAGTTTGCCCACCTCTGATCTAGACCCTTAGCCTGAGGGTTGAGCTACCTAAAGTTCAGTCAATACAGACAGCCCAGAGAATGAAATGCGGCTGGGACATAGTTGTTATAGGAGTGTGATCTGAATCTCAGAAACTGGAAGGCAAAGCAAAAGAAGCCAACAGATCTAATTTCTTGCCGATCCTGCTTAATTCCTGCAACTGCAACGATTTAAATGATTAAAATTAAAAAATGCTTAAAAATAAACGTTGAAGTTAGAAAAACATAAAACTGGAATTCTGCCACGCCTGGTGATACACCTGTTAAACTGCAGCGATATGGACAATCTCCCCAGCTGCCCCCTAGTGGCCCCACTAGCGCCTCGTGTCGCTGTCTCGCTCAGTCTGCCTGCCCATGGATGTTTTATTTTTATTTTATGGTCATCATTGCTTTATTGCAGTCACTATTTTATTATCATTCATTGCTTTATAATTAATTACATACAAACAAAAAAATTGTTTTGCCTAGAGCCAGGGATCCACCCAGACTCCCAGTCTCCTCTCTGCGCTGACCCACTAGACCCATTCCCTTCCCAGAGCTGAGAACAGAAGCCAAGAGTCCAGACTCCCACTGGCTTCAAATTCCCTTCTTCTACCTTCCCTTCATCAGCAGACCCTCTCTAACCACTGGACATTGCCGCCTTCCTGCTACATCTTGAATGGAGCCACTGAGAATGATGTACAGCCCCTTTCAGCCCAAATGATCCTCAAGCCCTTTAACAAATAGTACAAGGTTACACATCAGGCAAACATCCTTTGCGAAGCTCTTTCTTGGACAGGGACTTTATTTTCTCCGGAGCTGCTGTTTAAAGAAGAATATTCAGGCAAATATTAAAAGTCATCGCAACAAGAAAGAGTCACAAATTCCCATGCTCTAAGATCCTGCTCCACAAGACTCAGAGATTAGTGGCCATCCCTGGCACAGAGCTGGTCTCTGTAGACCCTTCCTACATCGATGGAAGGGGTTTTTCCATTGATGTCATTAATTAACTTCTCTGAGAGGCGGTAGCTAGGTTGACAGAATAATTCTTCCTTCGACCTAGACGTGTCTGCACCGGGGGTTAGATTGAGATAACTGCAGTGCTCAGGGCAAAAACATTTTCACATCCCTGAGTAATGTAGCTAGGTCAATCTAATTTTTAGTACATAAGAACATAACAATGCCCATACTGGGTCAGACCAATGGTCCACCTAGCCCAGTATCTTGTCTTTTATCAGTGGCCAATGCCAGGTGCTTCAGAGGGAATGAACAGAACAGGGCAATCATCAAATGATCTATTCCCTGTTGTCCATTCACAGTTTCTGGCAATCAAAGGCTAGGGACACTCAAAGCATGGTTGGGGTTGCATCGCTGGCCATCTTGGCTAATAGCGATTGATGGACCTATTCTCCATGATAGACCAGGCCTTAATCTCATCTTTTCCCTGGTCTCTGTCTTGCTGAATAAAGACGCAGCTCTTTAATATCTGAATATAGAATTGCGCAAGTCACTCGAATCAGCAAACACACTGGTTTTGATTTACACAAGAGAAAAGAATTTGATTCTCCACAGAATGGAAGAGTTGTTCATTAGGTTGTTTAGCCTCCTTCCTCCAGTCATTCACCCCATGGGATAATGATTTGGCCTAATCACTTCTTCCCAAGACCAGGAGAATTTTTGCAGCATAAAATGGAGGGGAGAACTCCAAATCTGCAGTCATTTCATATGAACTTTCAACAGCTTAGAGAAAAGGGAAAATATTTGAGAGGGTGCGAGATCTCTGTTTGAGAATGTATGAGTAAAGGGTCAAATCTGAGAAGAAAGTAGATCAGAGGGGGGTTAACATCCTCCTTTTCTTCATCCACCATGTGGGATGAGAAGTCAAGCCAGCTGGTTCCCTCCAAAAGCAGATGTGGCTGCAATTTAAAATGGGAGGGGGGAAAAAGACCCCAAAGTGAGAGAGTTTATTTCCCCATATTCAGTAATTAAACAGAAAAATGGCCAAATCTGGGGGGATTTTAGATCAATATTCCATGATTTAGCTGGAAAGGTGCCCGAATTGAGAAGTCCCAAAATGGAGGGAAATTTCTACTGATAGTCAATAAAGAGAAAATCTGAGGAGATTTTAGATCAATATTTGGTAATTAGAGAAAAAAAGAGGAAAATCTGAGGGGAAAGTAGATTCTAATGAGTTTAACACCTTCATTAACCCCATCCACAATTTGGAGCAATGACCGGAACCAGTAGTTTCCCTACAAATGCCCAAGTAGCTGCAGTTTAACTTGAGAAGGGGGAAGAAGCCCCCAGACTATCCATATCAGAGAATTAAATAGAAAAGGGGCAAAATTGGAGGGTTTTTTTAGATCAATATTGAATAAAAGAGAATCTGAGGTATATTATATGGGGGAGGGGCAGGGGTATGGTCTGTGCTGGCTGGATCTGGTGCAGAAGATGACTCTCAAATGCCCACATTACTCCATCTCCTTCATTCAGAGCCAGGTGCCCCACACTGTCCACCAGGCCTTGAAATGCTCTTCTGCCTTCTGGGGCTCATGGTGAGTGACCTCTGGTTTCCCAGTCCCAGCGCCATGTATGGACATAAAAAGACAGATTAAAATGTAGACCTCCTAGATGGGAAAGGCTCCATTGCCTGGCCCCCTGAGACAGCCAGTCCCCCTGGCCTGAGGCTGGATCAGAACTGCTGCCCCATAGACAACCAAGCCAACCAATCACGATTCATTTCTCTGGCTCATGTTCTCTTACTCCCGAATAGCCTCCCCAGCACCCTCCTTAGGGCCCCGTGCACATCCTTGTTCCTCAGCGTGTAGATCAGTGAGTTCAGCATGGGGGCGATGATGCCATAGAAGAGGGAGACCATCTTGCCCCGGTCCTGAGAGTAGCTGGATGGAGGCTGTAGATACATGAAAATGGCCGTGCCGTAGAAGAGCGACACCACGGCCAGGTGGGAGGCGCAGGTGTTGAAGGCCTTGAGCCTGCCCTGGGCCGAGCGAATCCTCAGCACGGCGATGACGATGTAGCTGTAGGAGACTAGGATGAGGACCAGCGGCACCAGCAGGAAGATCACACTGACAGCAAAAGCCTCGGCCTCAGTACTGGAGGTATCAACACAGGCCAGCTTGAGCAGGGCCGGCATCTCACAGAAGAAGTGGTCGACCCGGTTCCGCCCACACCGGGGCAGCCGCATGGTCAGGACGGTCTGCAGCATGGAGTTGCCGAAGCCGCTCAACCAGACGGTGGCCGCCATCTGCAGACAGAGGCGGCGGCTCATGACAATTGTGTAGCGCAGTGGCTGGCAGATGGCGACGTAGCGGTCGTAGGCCATGACGGCCAGAAGGAGGCACTCGGTGCAGCCCAGTGAGAGGAAGACGTAGAGCTGGGCCACGCAGCCAGCCCAGGTGATGGACTTGTGGGTGCTGCGGAAGTTCACCAGCATCTGAGGAACGGTGCTGGTGGTATAGCAAAGGTCCAGGAAAGAGAGGTTGCTGAGGAAGAAATACATAGGGGTGTGGAGACAGGGTTCCAGCCACAAGACCACAATGATGGCCAGGTTTCCCACCAGGTTCATGATGTACAAGACCAGAAAGACTACGAAAAGCAGCATCTCCAGGCGTGGTTGGTCAGAGACCCCCAGTAGGATGAACTCCCACTGGGAACTCCCGTTCCCTCTTTCCTCCTGCAGGGAGAAGGGACAAAGATAAGAACAAATGGAGACCCAAGAGCCATATACAAGGGAGACACATTCAAGGGCAGCCCCGTTTGCTCTGAATGAACCACGCCCACTTGGGATTTTGTCAGAGAAAATCTGGCCCAGTTGGGTGGCAGGTAGGATCTTTCTGCGAGGGAAATGCTTTGTTGCAGAAAAGTGGTTCTGTGGCACTTAGTGACAAAGGACAATCCATATATCAGGGACGGTGGTAAGGACGTGATTGATAAATGGATGCTTAGATTATAAGGTCTTTGGTACAGAGACTGTTTTGTATTGTTCCTTTTATTCTGTATTTGTACAGATCCTGATCGTGACTGGCGCTCCTAACTATGATCCCAAATTTGCACTGTTAGCTGCCCTCTGCCCCTCTTATGGGTGAAAGAACTGGGCATGTTTAGTCTAGAGGAGAGAAGGTTGAAGGGGGACCTGGTAACAGTCTTCAAATATGTGAAAAGTTGTCATAAAGAGGATGGTGATCAATTGTTCTCCAGGTCCATTAGGTCGGAAATACGTTTACCAGACAAGTCTGGGTAAATCAGTTTCTTAAACACAAAGGAGTCTAGCCAGGTGTCATCAAAGGTGATGGGCAATCACTTATCAAGTGGCCAGTCTTTGGCAAGGAAACGGGGCAGGAACAACCCGATCTCCATTGAAGCAACAACAGCATGGCATCTACTTCACCATTAGTCTCCTTGTCTCCATCCTTGCAGCAGGAATGAACTTTAGCTAGGCAGAACCCTCAAGAAAATGCATATCACAGGGTGACTGGACTATAAAAGTAAGGGGTAGAAAAACCCCAAGGTATCTCTCCCTATCCATCTCTCTCTCTTTCCTCTAAGAAGACAAAAGAAACAGCTTTTGGACTTTAGGAGCAGATCCTGGTCTGCGAATTGGCTCAGCAATGTTACTGGGAACATGTGGAAGGGATTTCACCTTGAGCCAAGTCTAGTTTATTAATTTTAGTATTAGGAAGTGTTTTCCCTTTACTTCTCCTGTAACCATTTCTGACTTGAATGTCTTATACTTGTACTCACTTGAAACCTAACTCTTTGTAGTTAAATAAACATGTTTTATTCCATAATCCAAACTGCATTTAAACTGAATTGTGTGGGTAACTTCATTTAACGTAGCAAACCGTTGGATATTGATCTCCTTAGAGAGGCAATGGACCTACAATATCTGAACTGTCCAGGAAGGGGCCGGCAGTGCAGTACCCAAGTCTTGGGGGGGAATTTGGACCTGGGAGTTTCTTGTGGTCACCCTGCAAGTGGTAACCAAGGCTCCAGGAAGCCATAGTGTGGCTGGTGTTTGCGGACAGGCTGCTGGGGTCAGAGTTGCTGGACCAGGGCTGTGGCTATACACAGACACGCAGGGTGTGACCTGAATGCTGTCAGGCTGCTTGTGAGCAATCCAGGTTGGAAGCTACAACAACAAAACATTGTGAGCCAGCCAAGGTAGCAGGGCAGCGGTGATCCAACCCCTCATTAGTCTGGATTGCACCCTGGAATGCCATGCAATCCTGGGAGGGTTTTAAGAAGAGGTTGGACAAACACTGGTCAAGTATGGTCTAGGTAAACTTATTTCTGCCTCAGTGTGGGGGTATGGCGCAGATGACCTCTGGAGGTACCCTCAAGCCCTACATGTCTAGGATTCTACTGCCACTTTAACATGAATCTATTACGATTAAGTACTTCTCTCTGTGACTGACAGGGACTACCATCTAAACACTTAGGGCGAGAATAAAATAATCCCAGCACCCCTAATTATAAGGTAGACCAGGGGTAGGCAACCAATGGCATGCGTGCCGAAGTTGGCACGCGAGCTGATTTTCAGTGGCACTCACGCTGCCCGGGTCCTGGCCACTGGTCCGGTGGGCTCTGCATTTTAATTTAATTTTAAATGAAACTTCTTAAATATTTTAAAAACCTTATTACTTTACATACAACAATAGTTTAGTTATATATTATAGACTTATAGAAAGAGACCTTCTAAAAACATTAAAATGTATTACTGGCCCGCAAAACCTTCAATTAGAGTGAATAAATGAAGACTCAGCACACCACTTCTGAAAGGTTGCTGACCCCTGATGTAGACCCTGATCCTACGAGCAGTTAGAGCTGGGGTTTCCAAAGCAACTTTAAGGAATGATGCACCCAAATCCCACTGATATTCAGGGGGATTACGGACTCATGTAGGGCTAAATATGGAGATAGGCAACAAGTGGGATTTTCCAAAAGATTTTCTAACTCCTTTGGTCCCAATAGGAGTTAGGCACCTAGCACCCATCTGCACTTGCGGGCACCTAAATCCCCTTGTAAATGTGGCCCATGCTTCCTACCAGCCTAATCTCCTTTACCCAAACCACTTACAGTGGGCTTGCCTGTGGGCTTACATAAAGCACGTGCATAGATCTTTGCAGGATCAGGGCCCCTCACGTACAACAGGTTTACACGGCACTTTACGAACACCGTCCTGCAGACCCTCACCCAGGTGATTAACTACTCACCTGTGCAAAGTTATCCCTGCATGTTTGTGGGTTAGGGGACCCTGGATAAGACAGATTCCAACCCTAACCAAATCTACCAATCGATGGCACTTGTCTGCCCCCCAGCACCACAGTATCTCAGCACCCAACAATCTCTAGTGGGTTTCTCCTCACATCACCCCTGGGAGGCAGGGAAGTTTTATCAGACCCATCGGACAGAGCTAAGAAATCTAACCAGCCCACATGCTCCCCAGCTCCTGGACCCTCTCCAGTAATAAGCAGGAACGAGTGGTAGAAAAAAGTCCGGACTCACCTCCATTCACCTCCGGCTCTGCTCTGCCCAGTCCCCCCCTGCCCGGGCAGCTCCGGGCGGCTCAGATGCTCCGATGCCAGGGCAGAGTCTGGAGTCCCTGCTCCCCTGCACTGAGCCCCCAGTGCCTGGGACGAGGCAGCCCCGAGCTGTGGAGCTGAATGTCTAAGGATGCTCCAGGGGCAGGGAGACCAGCTAAGTTCGCCCCCTGCCGTGGGTCAGCACCGTCCACATCTAGCTCTGGAAGCCCAGAGGCTGCAGGTTTTGCCCCCCCCCACACACACACACTGATGGGGCCCTGGGGTGGGTCTCAAAAGGAAGGGAATGTGGCAAACTGGATGCTCAGAGCCAGTGTTGCATGGTCACAGGGTACCCACTCTGCCTCCCAGGAAACAAGCCCGGTCACTGTGTGAGTGAAGTTCCTGCGGGCAGGTTGCCTCAGGCTAGGAGGGATACCCTCAGCCTCTCAGCTGGCAGGGTCTCCTAGAAGCCCAGAGACCACAGTGATAGAACGAAAGAAATCCCAGAGATGGGGAGGAGCGAGAGAGATGGATAGAGGGAGAGGAATGGAGAGAGAGTGTGGATGGACTGATGGATGCCAGACGTGCACGGACAGGAAAAGAGAGGGAGAGTCCAAGAGAGGAGAGGAGAGGATGGATGAGAGGTGAATTGTTAGGACAGAAAGAGAGACAGAGAGAAGGATGGATAAAAGGAGCAATAAAGAGATAGGTAGAAGAGCAGAGAGATATGCAGAGAGGTGGATGGATAGAAGGCTGGAGGGTGGAGAGGTAGATGGATAGAAGGATAGAGAAGGAGAGAAAGAGATGAGCAGAAGGACAGTGAGTTGGGGAGAGACCCAGAGAGCTGGATAGATCTGGAGAAGTACAGTGGATGGCTGGAAGGAGGTAGGATCCCCAGGATGTGTCCCTGCTCCCTCACCTACCCCAGCCCTGGTGTCACATTACACCTGGGCTGCCCCAGCTCTGAAGCACAGCTGAGAAGGGCCCTGTGTCTCTGTGACTGTGGGAGGCTCCTGCTTGTGCAGCTGATGATAGCTGTCCCTGAGTGCATGGGCCATGGGTGAAGGGGAGGGAGAAGGCAGGGCCCTTATAGACGTTGGAGCCCCGAAGGGGGCGGGAGATGTGACTCCCTGAAGCCTCCCAAGGGGCTGGGACTTGTCTGCTGCTGTTTGCGATGCCCCAGGGCCCCGTGCACCCAGTTGGGCAGGAGACTGCTCCAGCAACGCCGTCTAGGGGAGAGTGGCCTGGGGAGGAGTGACCCCAGCCCCTGAGCACTGCACCAGAATTGGGGCCACAACCCCCGCTCTAGTCACAGCCCCATCTATATCGAGGGCTCCCCTAGACCCCAGGTCTCGTCTCCCAGCCCTCAGACCCATCACTGGCATTGTGACCCCAGCCCAAGCCCTGTGGCCCACAGTCATGGAGCCGGGATTGTCCCTTCCCATGGGGTGAGTCGAGCTGAGACAGTTCTCAGAGCGAGTTAGCGCTGAGTGCAGGATGCTGGGGTTAGTGCACGGCAACGATGTCTGGAAGTCACAGCTGCGACCCCTCGGACGCCTGGGTTCTCTTCCCACCTCTGGGAGGGGAGTGGGTTAGAGCAGGGAGCTGGGAGGCAGGACTCCTGGGTTCTCTTCAATTCCGAGCAATACTCGGTGACTTAATATCAGGCACAGCAGTGGGTGGGTGGGGTCAAGGCACCCCCAGGCACCCAGAATTCCCTTCGCTAACATGTATGGGAACTGGGAGGACCATTTAGAAGTGTGTGAAAGCTACCAGCAGTGGAAGAGGAATGTGTGTGTGGAGCCCGGGGAAAGTGAGAATAGGCTGAACCTCAGCTAAGGGCTGTTTGGATTGAAGTCCAGGCAGGCCTGGATTAAAGAATTAGGGGGCTCTGTGCACCGTGGAACCCTTCCCCCGCACCTCCCCAACTCACCCCAAAACTCACCCCCAGCACCTTACCCACCACCACTGGGCCCCTCCTGGCCAGTCACCGGCACATCCCTGGCTCAGCAGTCGGTTCCCATCCCGAATTAAATCAGCTTGTCCCGACCCTGGCCACCCAACTCCGCTCCCTCTCACCACCCAGCCCTCACTCGCACGATCCCGCGCCAAACCCTCCATTGTGACAGAGGCAATGTGGGGTGGGTTGGACAGGCTGAATTTGAGTGAGTGATGTTGCGACCTGGTGCATGGAATTGCAGGGGCCCCATGCAAGTGCAGCTAATGCACATTGGCTAGTCCAGGCCTGAGTCCAATAAACATTTCCTTCCTTCTGCAAGGCAGTGTGGTCTAGTGGTTTGGCCACTGGATTGGGAATGTGGGCCCTCCATTCTATTCCTACTTCCACCACTGACTTTGGGCAAGTATCATCTGTGCGCTGAGCCTCAGTTTCCCCATGTGTGCAAGGGAGAGCAGAATATTTGCATATTCCTTCATCAGGTGCTCTCCAGCAGGGAGTGGAGAGGAAATCTGATCTGTTATTGTGGGGAGGGGTTTGTGAGCCTGTGAATTTGTGTGGAGGATGGAGGGAGTGAACTACGGGGCTAGAAGGGCCAATGGCCTCATTCGTTGCAGAGGAAAAGGATTAGCTGGCCAGTGATCTGGGGTAGGGGAGCATGGGGCACTGGAAAAACTGGCCAGTGATCTGGGGCAGGGGGTGTGAGGCATTGGACTAGCTGGCCAATGATCAGGGGCAGGGAGACATGGGGTACCTGACTAGCTGGCCAGTGATCTGTCTGGCAGAGACAGAGGGCAGGACACTTTCCCCGATGGGTCATTTCTCTGATCTCAGTCAAGCCTCTCTCCTTTCTGTCCCTGCCCTTAGCTGGTGAGCCTGGACTCTCCGCTGTGTCACCTCAATCAGTTCCGTGGCACGTCCATGCAGAGAGACCCAGCCCCTCCCTGAAAGCAGACGAAGGTCTGGGAGCTGCCTGGTGCCGACCGCCCCCTGAGGAGCTAGGGCCCAGGGGCTGGGTGCTGTTGCCCCAGAGCACCTCATTAGGCATCGCGGTGCAGCGCAACGGGCATTGTTGCGTCGAGAGGGGACTCTGGGTCTCATTAAAGACACTTGCTGTTTGTGACACAATGACTCTGACAAGCCCATGGAGGGGCCAGGCAGGTCATTAACATATTTTTCCGTGAAGGTTGAGAAGTCAATCAAAGGGTGTCAAGGGGGACCCAACCTCAGGCTGTGTTCCACATGCTGGGGAGGAGCGCAGCACAAAGACATCTAACAGCACAAAGAACATACCAGTCCCCAGGCTGGATCCCACCCGAGTACTTCCAGCTCCCCTCCAATGCTGGCCCAGCTTCAGGGGACGTGTCAACACTCACCTCATGGACAGCTGAGAAATGTCTTACTAACCCCTGTCAGCGTGATTCACTTACACCTTAGGGAATGACACCTCTACAGAAACACGGTCACGCTGTTCTGTGCCATGTATTTTTCCTCCCTCACCTCCAGTGTAAATCAGGGATAA